AAGATGAGGAGCACATTGTACAATCAACAGATACAAGGACAGAGGATCCTCTCACCTGATGACAGCTGTGACAAATTACTGAAAACTTTGCTACTGAAGCTGAGAAAACACAGGGTATTAATTTTAAAGAGAATATTATTTTCAAGGCATTATTTTCGGATTTTTGCCTGAGTGCTGTTTTAAATGCAAGCCCCAAGTAATTTTAATAGGGAATCATTTAAATATATCAAAACACCCCTATAATGAAAAAAACCAAATGAGTATTTAAACTATGTATACATAATTGTGTACTTACTTAATTGCAGAAGAAAACACAGACCTGTGTTTAATTGAAAGATAAGGTACTATTAAGAAGTGTGTGCATATATATAGAAGTCCACATTTATAAATATAATACATTTATTAAATTATTATTGTTAAAATATTACATGTGCACCTTACTTGCATGTAGCATGCATGATACATATAAAATCTGTAATCATGTTTATAAAGATTATTTATATTTTTGCTAGTCTTACTGCATTTCCCTTCTGCACTAGTTATTAAGATTGCTATCTGTGATGCCTAAAAGCCAAAACCAGTGGTATATTGATATAAAGGCAAAAACTGCAGACATTGGTGAAAACAGCTGGTAGCAAATTCTCAGGGCAGAATGCTTCGCTCCAACACTGCGAAACAAAAAATGGTAACAGTCACGCAATTGAGAGTTTAATACTCAGTGAAGAAGCGACGTCACTCAGCTGAGCGAGGTAATTCCAGGAATCAGGAGGCAGAGCCACTGCAGCAGGAGCACATCATCCTCCCATCCTCTGAGCAAACCATTGTCACACCCAACAGCTCAGAAACTGCTGCCTGCTCAAGCAGCACCAGGCTGGTGAAGCAAGGCACATCAAGCTCCTGATTTCTGACTCTGGACAAAGATTCCCATGGATTAAGAAGATGTGACCGGCTGCTTGGGTGAACTTCAGCCTATTTCACGATGAAAGGAAAGCAATTTTTTAGAACACTGAACCAAGTCTGGAAACATTAAGCTACAGGTACAAGAGAAACTCACAACTGGGAAATCTTAACTGGGACTTCGAAGTTGTAATACCGATGCTACTATTTAATTTTGAGGGGAAAAAAACCCCAGAAACCCAAATAATAGGACTGAAGGAAGTTCAGCTGCTTTGAGATCTTAGAACAGAGAAAAACTAAGAACTTCTGTGATTTAAAAGCTAGCATTAGTATACCTTTCCTCATACATTTACTTCTCATTATTTGCCTTACAGCATTAAAGTCTTTACATGCAATTTCTTCCCTCGTATTTTCCATTAACTTACTATAGTTTGGTAATGGTACCAATATATTTTCTTAGCTCAAAGATAACCTTGCCAGCAGGAATTCTCTGTGTGTTTGGACTAGCCCCACTGAAAGCTGTTGCAGCAAAAGTACCTCAGGTGGATGTGTTAGAGCTCCTATGGTACCAAGGGCACAGCACAAGGCACACCAACACACACAGGACAGAAATGATGCACCTACCTCTTCATGTGTATTAACAAAACAAGGGCAAGTTTGCAATGAAAATCTCAGTGCTCTTGTGGAATATCTGACTAAACTTAAATGCCTATGTTTATGAGGCAATTACCAAGTCCAAAGTGAGACATTTATACAACATTAAAAATACGAACCTGAAGAAAACTTTTATACAACCCCTTCAGAGCTTTGCCATTCATAAGTACAGCATTACCATTTACCAAAGCTCCCTAAGTCCTTCCAAGTTCTGGCATTGCCTATTGGTCTGGCATTGCATCTTGGTTATGATGGGAACCTTGGTGCTCCTGCCCCAGACGTCAAAAGGCATCACTAAATCCCTAGGACATACCTGACAAGCATCCTGGCAAACCTTTGAAGTACTCTAGGTGTTGGAAAAAACAAGATGCATTTCAACTGAAACAGGTGTTTTCTTACTGTTTAAATCACTTACAAATACAAAACCGGTTTTCACATGTTTAAGAAAAGTCTTGTGCAAGTAAAACAGCTTTTTTTTTCTGTGGGAACAAGTTCCTACTACAACCTAAAGAACCTTTGTGTTCTACATCCTAATTAAAAAACAAATCTTCAGAAAGTTCCTTGTAAGCAACACTGGGGCAGCACCGTAGTCTTGTATTTGAAAATGTCTATCTTGCTAAGAGCGTTAAACTTCACACTATGCCAATTTTGACCACAAGATGAGACACACTCCAGCACAGAATACACCAACATTATGCCATATTTGTCAGAAATTGGGTTGCACATTATGAAATTAAAATTGGAGGAAGTTAAATAGTGGAGAACTGGTCCAGACCTTGGCTTCATGATCCCCAAAGGATGTCATTAAGAGTGTACAGTTTCACAGTCCCATATATTGTTTCCAAAATAGCAAATGAGTGTTAGACAAGTGTTTCAGTAATCTCACCTCTGTCTGGATCTAAGTAATAACACGATAAAATAACCACAAATAGACAACACAAGCACAAAATAATCCACATTTTATTGCAGTAGAGAAATTATACCAAATCTTAAAAGGAACAGGATTCAAATACAGTGTCTACTCATAAAAATCATGCGCAGCGCAAGAAAATAACATATTACAAAAAATGACTTTTTGAAAAAAACAAACCATTTTTCAAATGTTGTGTCTTGAAAATTCAATAGTAATTTTCATGCTTACGTCTTCTACAAAGAGAGAAGTAATCTAAACTGACTGTATTCCAGAGGATAATGAAGCACACCTGCAGAATTAGGCAGCAGTCAAGGCTGACAATCTCAGTTGCTGTTTTAGACATGGCTGTATCAATTCTGCCAAGAACCACTTTTATCTTCTTTGTAGAATGTAGCACTATAATCCTGTAAAGCTCCAACAAAGGGCACTCTGTCGTGACTTGCATAACCATCTTTTCAAATTTTTTTGCAAGTCATCGCCTTATTGCAGTGTCTTGGGTAAAGATGGTTGTTTAAAGTTGAACTGTTGCCTGGATGTTTCCCAGAGCACACATATAACAACCATATATACACTACTTCTGTTGATGCATCTCTGATTTCTTGTCTAAGATGAGCAGTCTTGATTAACATCAGTGGACTTGATCCCATAAGACAGTAACAATCTACATCTTGTCCAAGTTTACAGACCCTGTAAAAGGCTGAGTGAACTCACAAGATCCACTTTTCAAAGTTACAGATTTTCACACCAAATGGCATTGTCTCTTGTCACACAGTTGTTGACTGCCTTGAACCCAGTTTTACCCACTGAGCTCCTAATCCACTTGACCATTTTTGGTGTAAGATACAAAAACTTTTGAACAAATCCAAACTAAAACACATCTATTCGCTTTTAACAATCTTTTCACCGATGGCCAAAACTTTTAAAATTTATTATTTGGTCAGAGACCGTTACTAAATACTTCTCAGAAACACTGTGTTGATATGCCACCTAGGACAGCAGATCTAATCTAAGACCTAAATCTGAGAATCTGAGAAACAGGATCACAGGTCAATGCTGTTCCACAGGGAAAAGGTCTACCCAGCCACAGTCACTGCTGGGAAAGGCTCATGTGGAGCAGAGCCTGTGCTTTTGCAGCTTCTTACTCTCAGGCACATGGTACAATTATGTCAAAGACAGTATCTAGAAAACAAAGCAGATGAAGGAATGGAGCTCTGGAGAAGGAAACAAAAGGCCCTGAGGCTTTTAGATGTAACAGGGACAGAAGAATGATGTGAGACAGCAAAGATCAGCTCACCTACCCTGGACTGGGCCGACAACTTGACCTAGTGAGGGAAGCTGGATCTGTTCTAAAATGGCAGAGGGACTCTGTGATCATTAAGACTATATTCAGTGGAAATGCAAGTCAGTGTTATGGCCTTGTGTAGAGAAAGGGCCAAATTATCCTTTTATCAGCAAAAAGTGTGATGGTGAATTAAAAAATAAATTAATCTTAGAACTGTGAAATCACATTAATTTATTTGTACACACTAGCAACGCTTATTTCAGTATGTGCCTCCACAGCACAGATACCCAGAAAAACTTTCTTCTGACTTTAAGAAGGATCATTCACATTCATAAGGAGTCAGAATGTCCTGCTGGCCTTTTAGCAGCATGCTTTTAGCCAAAAATTCCATAACGATCCAGCTGCTCTTTCCCACTGAGGTAAAAGCAAGTGTAACAATTGTGTCCATTTGCACTGACATGAAACAACCTGTCTCAAGTGGCTCTTCAAAAGGCATTACCATCACCTAACCTTCTTGCTATTAAGATTAAAAAGGAGATTAATCTTATTTTTCAAACAGTTCAGTGTAATTAAAAGACACAGGAAAAAATCACAACGTGAGAAACTGCAGTCTTCTAGACAATTCTTTAGGAACTACTCTAAACTAAAATTTTATTTCATGGAAAACTAACCAAAACAAACTTTTCTAGGTCTTTCTAATTAGATACAGTCTTGAAAACTATCATATTCCTTCCAAGAAAACCAAGCACAATTTTCTGATTTAACAAGATTGGCTTGTCTTCTACTTGCATGCAAGCACAATATTATAAATGATGTCATTAATATTTTTAAAACTCTTTCCACTGAAAGAAAAATTTCTTGTTTAAGACACTGCTTCCATGCAAAAATAACTAATCTCTAATATGAAATTAATTCTCTTACCCACAGGAATCTAGACCTGAAATGTCTTTATTCAGCTCATCCCATATTTGCAATTTGATTCACTGTCCAAGCAAAAAAGTTGGCAATTTCAAACTCTCAGGCAAAGCTGCAATTGATGGGTCCAGTGACTAATTGGAATATACTGGACATCTGTGGATTGCAAATTATTGATTGAAAGTTGAATTTCATTTTCATTAAAGACAAAAAATACATGTCTTAGAATTTATATATAAATATGTATATAAAATATTCTGTATTTTTTTAAATTTCAGGTTTGAAGTTACTGAACATCTAATTTAGCCCCTGTGGATTCTGGAGGGAAGAGTCATTGCTTCACTGATTTGTAGTTTTGGAAGGGGAAAAAAAAGCAAAACACTAAAAACTATGATTAGTATGTAGGATGAGAGTCATAGAAATGGAAACAAAAATATTCATCAGCACTGGAAGCAGGAGAGTTTAACAGCATGTTTGAATTCGGAATTATCTACAGCAGAACTCCTAATGTTTGTATAATAGTTGTAAAAATCATCCTCTCTCGCAAACTTTTCTTCATCTTTGTAATAAGGCATAGATTCAGTAGTTACAGTACAAGTAGATTTTCCTTTTCATGGTGTACACCAGAATACAGGGTGCAGCCTAGTTGTACACAAGCTCAAATTCAATGAAGATCTATGTTTAACTGTAGGACAGAAGGTAATTATTTTTTGTGCAAAGATCATTCTGTTCAGTATGTTTTCTTAAATTTAGATGGACCACATTGTATTTATGATTTCTAGAAAGAAGAGAGAGAGGTAATGGCACAAAACATGATTTGTTTTGAAAGACGACAAAATATTCTAGATGTGCGCTCAAGATCTACAGATCTCCAGAAACCTTAATTTCCTGTTAGGCATTAAAATGTTCTGTCATCAGCTGTTACAAGACTATTTGGAAAAAAAGTAAATAGCTTTCTTTTTTCCTTTGGGTTTCCCCCCATGACTGATGCCAATGGCAAGCCTAGGAAAATTGAACTGCTGCTTGGCTTGCATCTATCGCTGAGGGAAAAAACACAAAAAAGAACTGTTAAAAGACAAATTCTAAGCTGCATACAGGAAGTTTTAATTAACAAAGGTAAGAAGTGAAAAGACTATGAAATATTTGTAAGTTGATTCCCTGTCTCAAACTATTTTTGCACACATGTAGCTCCAAGACTACTAAGACTCAGACCTTTTCAGCCTGGCATTACACAAACACCAAGTATTGTACAAACACTTGCACCACACAGTAACAGCATAAGAATTTGTACCAATTTTCTTGACTTTATTCATCCATCTAAGAATAAATGAATAATTTTTGTAAGAGAAAAAGCAGTATCATAATTTAAGCTTCAGCATAAGTAAGTATGGAAACACATTTTTATATGCTAAACACATGTTCACTAATAAACAACATTACTGTACAATGCTTTCTTTTCCTAGCCTGGATAATTACTGAAGTGCAAGAACCACAGGCAAGGAGATGCAAAAAGGCATTTTTGTTTAGGCTTCTCATTCAGAATTCCTTCAGTAAGGAAACATGTCTTCCTTACAATTCCAATGAAGCGTCATGAAAATTAGGTTGTCAGCTTAAATAGGGAAAGATACATTTAATTTACATATGTGCACTTATTCCCATACTTCAAATTAAACAGGATAACAGCATAAGAACTTTGACAAGTTTCTTTTTCTTATACACAGTCTTATCTTGAATGTGAACTCTGTTTTACTGGACACTCCTGCTTTGAGCAGAAATTGTCCCAATATGCAGAATCCTCTGGTGCGACTGGAATACCAGATGCAACTAAATCTTCAAAAGTCAATAATGTAAATTGTGGTTGGTTAGGCTCCATGGAATGGACCTAAAGAAAACACATATTAGCAAAACATGAATCAATAAATACAAATTTTCTTCCTGTAAAGTTCTGTGTCATGTTTAAACTACACATTGCTTACTGAAGAAGAAAGAGAACATTCTACATTTGAGACTAATGTCACTTCCCCTCATTTAGGCTATGCAGTAACTATTAGAAGTATGTAACAAAGCCACACAGAAAAATTGAGTTTTTTGTTGAAACACAGTTCACAAAATTGATGGAACAAGGGCTATAGAATGCTGCAAGTATGACAGAATGACTATTTAAGTCCACTAAAAAAGAAAAAGACCACCATCAAACAAATTGTACTTCATTTTTCAGCAGATATAATTGACACAAGTGTGTGAGGATTTATTCCACTGGGTGTGCCTATCTGTACTCTTTCTAATACCAATAGTCACTGACATTTTGCATGCTTCTCTCAGACCTAAGTGCTACTTAAAAACTAAAGTGGTCACAATCAACCTGCAATTCCCCATGTTAAATCCAATTAAATGTGGACTGCGATATTAGAGATGACAGTGTCACAGTCTCCAGGTTAGTTTCATCACTCCAAGAAAAAAAAAAATCACATTTTTGAAGAAGAAAAATATTTGTTTTGTTTTTTTCCTTGAGCACACTACAGTGCAGCCTGCTGTATGCAGTCTCCAAATGTAATTGTTTCCAGACAGCAGGGCAGATAGTACAGCTTGCATGAATCAAACATAAATATAGCAGATTCTTCTAAATAGGTCTTTGCTGGAGCGACATATTCTTAATGTTTAGTATTTCATAAAATTCAGCAGGGCTCCTCTGCAGTGGTGTTACTCAGTACATCAGACAAACTGACTCATTTTTGATGAGCCTGTCAGGGTCTCTCTCTGTGGCAGTACAACCCTCTGGTGTATCAGCCACTCCTCACAGTTTGGTGTCACCAGCAAACCTGCTGAGGGTGCACTGCACCAACATCCAGGTCATCAGTGAAGATGTTACACAGGACTGGACCCAGTGTTGACCCCTGGGGCACAGTACTGGCCTCCAACCAGACTTTGCAGCACTGTCACCACAACCCGGGCCCAAACGTTGAGCCAGTTTCCAATACACCTCACTGTCTGCTTATCCAGTACTCAGCATTGTTCTAGAAGGATCTCATGAGAGACAGTGCCAGAGATAGAAGGTACTGAAATACAGGTAGAAAATTACCCACTGCTCTAACCTCATCTACCAGGCCAGTCATTTCATTGCAGAAATTTACCAAGTTGGTCAAGCATGATTTTCTTTTGGGGAAGCTATGCTGACTAGTCCTGATGATTTCCTTGTCCTTTCTGTGCCTGGAAATGGTCTTCAGAATTAGCTGTTCTGCCACCTTTCCAGCAATCACGGTGAAGCTGTCAGACCCATTGCCTGGGTCCTCCTTCTTCCATGTTTTTTTCCAGTCTTCGGGCACTTTTTCCAGTCCCCATGATCATCCAAAGATTATTGAGAGGGGCCTTGCAATGCCAGCTGTATCCCATAAATATTCACTGACTTACACCCATCCAGTTTGCTCGAACAGTCCTTGACCTAACCCTCTTCCTCCAAGGTCACATCCTCCTGCCTTCTTCTTCTTTCATCCCGGCAACCTGGGATTCCTGACAGCCAGCCTTGCTAATAAATACTGATACAAAGGTGGCATTCAGCACTTCAGCCTCTTTTAACATTTATCTTGCTGAGCAAAACCGCTCCCTTTGGCTTCTTTGCATTTACGGAAGTGCTTCTTGTTTTGCTTTGAACATCCCTGGTCAGATTAAATTCTATTTGGGTTTTAGCTTTTCTAACTTCATCCCTGGATGCTCAGACAATATTTCTGTATTCTTCTTATGTTACCCATTCTTGCTCCCACCCTCTGTATGCTTCCCTTTGTATGTCCAAGTCTGGCTACAAGCTCCCTGTTGATCCATGCAGACCTTCTGGTCTTTTGCCTGACTTCATATGCAATGAGATGGAACTCTCTTGAGAGTAGAGGGGATGATCCTTTTTTGCTTATATCCAAGTGCTGGAGGTGACTCAGTCCAAGGTCAATTTTGAGGATTTTGTTATTCCTTTCTGTCATATTAATGAAGATAGGTCAGTAATAGGCAAAAAGCAAAATTTCTCCAATTCAGTATTTGAGCAGTAGGTTACTATTAGGAATAAATGCAGAGAAAACAAAATGGTTTGTGCTTGCTGTAACAGCACAGAAAAACTCTTAGCTGTCAATGCAGACTGAAAGTAAAAGAGGTTGAGTCGCCTCTCCCTTTATGTCCTTACACAAGTGACGTGGTGTTGAGACATTTCTGTTCATCTGACATTTTGGAGAGGTAAAGCTGGAGGAATGGTGCCCAGAGCCATGCAAGTGACATTACAGATGCATACCAAATATGAACCAAGCCTCCGAGCTAAGTAGTTGTTAACAGATGTAGTTAGAACTTCAGCACGTGCTTGTCTGAAGGAAATGTGCCCTGACTGAATGCAGCACAACTCTTGTGAAGTATAGCAAGCGATAGACAGAAGACACTTTATATCCTACACAGGATTTATTTATTTAAAGAATTTTAAACTCAGCCATCTTTTATTGAGACTAACCTCAGATAAATGTCTAGATCTAGGTTAAGAGCACAGATATATGTTCTGTTTACTCAAGCATATAGCAGTCACTAGCATTTTGATAAGACTCCTGACACTACAGATTTTTAATTACAGTACATTGACATAACAATGGTTCTTTCCTGGGAATTGTAGATACATACTATCATTTTGTGAAGAAAGCTGAAAATAGATGTTCTGCAAACAGGCCATAATGAATTACTCCTGTGATTGCAGAGAGGGAACAGACACAAACACTGACAGCCTGAAACAATTGGGTAACATTTACACACACATTAAGCTAGAATGAACAACCTTTTCTTTTGACACATTTGGTAATAAATAGAATCCTTTTTATGGTTGTTTTACAAAAAAAGAAGGTAACTTTCATTTCCTCCATGTTCCTGTTAGAAGGAGGCCTGAAAAGGCACAGTGCAACAGTACATACATTTTCACTTAATTTCCTTCCTCAGAATGAATGAGACCTTGTTCTGCTTAAAATGACCATTCTTCATTGAACTGAGATAATGAAATCTAGGTCATCATAAGTTTAGTCAGTGGACAAGTAAGCCTTTGAGACTCCTCTTGATTCAAACACTTTTCATCATAACCTTTGATATCATGACTATTTTTATTATGATACGTTTAAGGTAAGTGACCATGATGGTGAAGGTCAATGCTTTAAAATCCTGGATTCCTGCAGAATACTTAGGTAATTGTCTTTTGAAATAATGGCCATGTCTTTTCACTTCAGATTTAGAGTTATCAGTACTCCTGTCAGAAGGATAATGTGCAACCCCACCAGGAACTTAAGTAGGTCCTGACAAAAAGAATGAACATAATTTCTTTAAAAATATTTGCCCACCAATTTTTCACAATAAATCCCCAGAAGGAGTTTAATATATCTTTTTCTCAGTCTAACCAATACTAGTTACAAGGTCTGACTCCCTTTGTTATCCATGAACATAGACTTTGTTACCTTGATAGATAGTAATGCACACTTTCATGCTTTTAACCATTCCTATACTAATTTTCTCTTTTTTTTTTCTAGTTCCTGGTAGAAACTTTGTATCTAAATAACAGATATTTATTTATCTGTTAAAAATATATATATTGATGAGAACTAGAAAGCCAGAGAAAAATCTGGCAATTTGTCACACTCATTTGCTGACTGTCTGGCTGTTTTGGCTACAACATGTCAGTCTGTCACTCCCTTAAATTTGACTTTTATTGCTATTTTCACGACTGAGGTCTTTTTACATTACACAGAAAAATATGAAAAGCTTTTAAGTAGATTTTATCTTTCTCTCAATAGAGACACCACATGGAATGAAGACTAACACTGCTGTTCTTCCCATCTGTTGGTTGTTGTTGTTTGTCTCAAGGGTTATCTTGTCATAATGGTGTTTGAGCAATGGATCTGCTCTGGGATACACACACTGACAGTCGCCCACTAAAATCAAATTGGTGAGGTGTCATACAAGTTTAGCAGTCCAGATTGGTTCACTGTTTCCATTTCCCTCTGTGAAAACCATCTTTCCCACATGAGTACTAGCAGGCTGTGACAAAAATCACTTAATCTTCTCTTGAATGAACACATTGAATACATGCATTACAGACTTGACATTATCTGTTGCTGTCCTCTGAAACTATTTCTCCTTCACAGACTTTTCCTGAACCAGGCACAACAGAACTAGAGGAAACACTTCAGTAATACTGCTTGGTTCTGGTCAATACTGTGCCTAAGATAAGCCTTCTTCTTGGCCCAGTATATGAGATGACACACTTTTAGCTAGAGCATAAGTTTATATTCAAGTGATCACCAAGACATGAAAGCACTTCACAGTTCCTTACCTCAGAATCCTTCTGTACAAATCCCTCCTGTTTCCCAAGCGCCACTGCAACATGATGATGGTCATCCAAACGGGTTTCCTAGTAAAGATGAAAAATGGCAATGTAAATGTATTTTCTTTGCTCTGTTTCCAGGGGATAGACTATTTAAGTGTTTAGAGTATGGCTCAGAACAATAACACAAGATCATTCAAAATACTTTAAAATAATGACATTCAAAAAGCAATAGTACTTTTTAGCAGTTTTGTTGGAGAGCTCAATGATGCAGACACATTAAAATGTTCACAGGGCTGATGACAGATTACTACAGGTTACCATCACCATTGTATCACCATTTGTAGATATTTGTATTCAAGTTTGTGATCTGAGCATTCCTTTACCACTCCCTTCTAAGTCTCAAAGCATATAAACCATCTTAGCTATCCTTTTCCAGTGAGATGAACTGTGAACCTCTAGAAAGTATTTTGAAAAACAATGATGTCAATGTAAACTTAAAACAATGACTCTCTTCTTTTTGGCTTCAGACAGCATGTAAGAGCACAACTTTAAATTCCTGACATAGTCTGAGTACTGCTATGTGTAAATACAAACCATCATTTTTAGATGTGTAACTATATATTTAGTAATATAGTTTTTACCTATTTAATAGTTTGGTTTGAAAGTGTTTTTTTCTAGAAAGACTACAAATGTATCCTAAACAATTTCAGGAAAATGAACCCCAAAGACTTCTGCTGTTTCTAAATAATGCTTATACTATAGCCAAGCCATAATTCCATTGACTTTTAAAAATTTCAAAAATACTAAAAATTTAAAAAATGCCTAAGGGCAGGAAATAAAATTTTCCCTCCTTCTTTATTCAAAAGTTTTCATGTAATTTCTGCACACTTTCTAAAGTAGAAATCAAGAATAATTTTACCTAGTAAAGTGATCCACTTCAATATTGCCATTAATCTAAAAATTAAAATGTCATTAGAATATTCTCCTGGGATATAAGACTGAATCTCCAATTTTAGCTTCCTTGGGAAATATCCTAACTGCACTAAACTATAATATAAACAAAGCACCATGATATCCTCCAATTTCTTCTGACAGGTTGTTGGTCGCCTCATTTTTCTTCCCTTTTAATCTAAGCAAAATGTCTTTTAGAACAATGGTGATAGTGTGCATCAGGCTTTTCTACAGTTCATCTACTATACAGAATTTTCAAAGGCTTCAGTTGCCAGGATACCATTTCTGTGATTCCAAACCAGCCCTGTGTATGTATATATATATATAAAAGGTGCCAAGCTGCTCAGCTCAGATTTACTCAGCCCAACTCAGCCAAGGCAGCAGCTGCTCCTGTTGTGTGCAGCACCAGTACAACTGTAAAGTTGGAGGGATGTTTCTGGCAAAGTGAAAGTAAGTCAAGCATAAAGAATGCTGTCTAAGAGGTAACCACTTAAGAGCGCACCTTTCTGTAACTGCCTCAAAAATAAGAAAGACTATGAATGCTTGACCAGGTATTGCTAAACCATTTCTATAGTTCTGGGGTGGCAGTGTTTTGTGTTTTTCTATATCCCCTTTTTAATCACTTCATTTTCTGCCCTTCTTTTATTTTTCTTGCATGTCCAGGAGGTCAAAGACAGATCAGAACAGAGGGCACAATGCAGAATATTCAGCAGTGGTTTACACCTGTCATCAGAAGTCTGTAAACAGCTTCAAGCACAGAATTTTCTTTTTGTGAAGTCAATTTATTTTACTTCTTGTTTGCGCACCTAAAATCATATTATAGATAGTATTTTACATACTGTTAGCAAAATAATATTTCTTTCAGTTCAAAGATGCATTTAACAGGTAGTGACTGTTTAGATACAACTTCCCTGCAGAGATCTTCCCCAATGAAAAGTGAATGAAAAATGTTCCATTTCATTTATTTCATGTATCCTCTGTGGTCACAAGAGAGCTTTCAGCATCCTACAATAAAACATAAACTATGCCCTTCATCTATCTTTGCTGTTTCAGAGCAATATAAATCCAAATGAAGTACAGAAAGGAACAACTTTCCTGGCCTTTACTAGTGGCCAGCAAAAACCTTAAGCAATGGAATTAATAAAACATACTGAAACCATAAAAAATAGCAAATCAACTTGCTTCCCTGGAGATATTGCTATACCAGCTTATAAAATTAGTATCTTAAATGGAAATAGATGATTAAACAAAAAGAGGACAATCATACAGAATTCCTTCAGTGTAGTGTCAAGCATCAAAGTCACCCCAGGACATGCAGAGTTTGTTTTGTTAAGATTCCTCTCTATAAACTAGAAAACATATAATGGACCAAAATTTGTTTTTGTCTGCACAGAACAAAAGTGTTACTAGAGCACACTGAGATTTACAACGATCTCGTTTCAAAGACTCGGCAGAATGATGTGTCTGGAATTCAAGTCATTATGAATTCACTCAACAACAGACATCTTAGGATGAATCTGTACCCTCCCAGCCAGCAGAACTGATTGATGAGTAAATCCAGTTGGATTAGCTAGTCTTAGAAATAAAAGTTTCTATTCTTATTTATTCCTGACAATGCAACAGAATTAACTTCTCTTACTGAGGGTGAAAGATGCCAACTACAGTTGCACACCAGCAATTACTAAATATGTTTCAAATTGACCCAGGTAATCTCTCTTTGAAATTCATGTTCTGGAAGTAATCTATTTGCATATAAACAAACCAAGCAAATATTTGTTGTGAAAAAATGCAAAAAAAGTTATTTGTGCAACAGCAGTCCTGCCAGATGATTCTTAATCCCAGACTGAAGTTTAGGATGAATTATGTGTTTCCTATATAAAATAATTGTACCCACAATGTTGAGGTAGGTATGAAAACAGAAATGTCTTACATCTCAAATTCTTTAATATTGATTCCAGTAAGTGCTATCCAGTTATTCTTCCTGATCAATTGTACACAACAGGGACCAATAAGGAAAGGGTCACGAATACATTTAACACTTTGGAAATCACTAAGTAGGAATTTATTTTGCATAATCTCAAAGAATGGCTTACACTGGAAAGAACCTCAAAGATCATCCCATTCCAAGCCCCCTGCCTTGGACAGGGACACCTCCCACTAGACCAGGTTTCTCAGGGCCTCATCCAATCTAGCCTTACACACTTCCAGGATGGGACATCCACATGTTCTCTGGGAACACTGTTCCTGTGCCAAGATAGTTCCAATGCCAATATATTTTTCCATATATAAGATCCGCTACAAATCTACCTAGCTATTTAATCTAGCTATCTTTTAAACTTATATTGACCTCTTTAAATGACAGAACTTGTCTTAACTGTTTTCAACCAACTTATTTTGTTTCTACTAGAATTAACTACCACTTCATTCTTGTCATAGTAGTAGACAGCTCATCCATAGCAGGCACCTCAAGCCACACAGCCTCCTCACTGGCACGGCACTATGAGAAACTGGAGTCCTTGACTTTGTTTCAGTGTGTTATCAGTATTATTCTCATCCTAAATTCAAAACACAGCGCTATGCCAGCTACTAAGAAGAAAATTAACTGTACCAGAAATGAAACTAGGAAAATTGCCCAAGTTTATTTTCTTCAAAGGAAGTAAATGGAGCATATAGAATTACCCATAATAATAATAATCATCACCATCATCATAATGACTCCATCCTAAATCAACACCCTGACAAAATACTTATCACTCTTCACTGGGCTAGCTGTCTTTTAGTTATTACTAAACAAAGCCACCTTTTTAAAATGAAGAAAGCACGTACTGTCTATATGAATAAAGCATATTCAACACATATAGCAGATATATCTTAAAATTAAATTGATGCTTTTAAAAGAAGCTTTATTTCCTCCAACTCCTTACAAAACAGCTGAAGGGAATCTGCATAGCAATCTCTAGAAGAAAATGCAAAAACAAGACCCTAAAGCTAAATCCTTCCATCAAGATCAAACAAGAAGAGGCTGTTTCTGATCAACTGCTTTCCACTTAAGCCAAAAATACAGGGAGTGAATGAGGGCAAAGATACTTCGAGCAAAACTAAACCCTTGGTAAAAGTTTGTCAACTACATAACAAAGTAGTTAATTTGGTATTTAGAATGAAATAAGAGAAACCTTTTTGCACTGTTCACAGAAAGTTCCATCTTCAATTTGAATTGGCTTTGCTCTGTGAACAGTTACAGGGTGTCTAAACAGAATCAACTTTGATTTGTTCTGATTCATTAGTATTTCTCTTGATCTTTTAGTCGTGACAAGTATAAGATGGTGGATCTTATTTCCTGGTCTTTATGAATTTAAATTTATCTTTTCATATTACATGGTGCTTTCTGAGGGAGATTTCAGAATATTTTGTGTAATTTAAATGGATAAAATCCCCTTTATTTCCCCTTCCATTTTTAGTAAATTAGGTTCTCTTTAAAACTGAAATGAATCAATCAAAAATATGTGATAATTGAATTTTAAACAGTCTTGGCCTCCTTTATAATTTCCTTTCACTAAGACATTGTCAGTTCTGGAATGCAGAAGTTGAGGTCACTATATTTTTTTATTTGATAGAAAAAGCTCCCTCAAGTAAACTTGGCACAACAGGAAAAGGCTGTATCAGTAATATGTAATCTTACAGGTGACTCAGTGTCTGCTCTTGGGTGACTCTTTCAGATTTCTCAAAATTACTGTTTTCAACTAAAAAGTTATTTCAAAAATCTGATGAGAGAAAAGACTTTTCTAAGTAAGAAAACAGACAAAATTAAAATAAACTTGGGAAGAGACAAAAAAGTAAAGCAGTGCTTAATTTTAAGCTTTCTGGAGATTGGCAACTGAAAAATATTTTACTTATTAATTTTTATTAATGTTGATATTTAAATGAAATTATATCCCAATTGAGCTTGTATTTAAAGGAACCTTGATATTAAGCCTTTTCTTTGAAATACAAGAATCTGCCTGATTATAATGCTTCAGGAGGGCAAGTGTGGAATTGTAGACATGCCTCAGATGAAAACTGCATGAATGTTCTAGCAGTAATTACAAAATCGTAAGGAAAATTTAAACAATTAGAAAGCACTTAAGTATTACAAGGAGCTATCTGCATCATCATCTTCAGTCTATTTCTGTCAATCAACCACAGGCACATCAAAGACCAAACTTAGGAGTTCCAGAATTCATTGAAGACAGGTGGATGTTCCCTTGGCCATGGCACACTGCAGTAATACAGAAAGCATTCTGGTACAAGACATATCACAGGCTTTCCCGATAACTTAATTTGCCAGTGTAATTCCTGCTAGTGAATTTCTTGACATACTGATATTGCTATACTATAAAGGAATTGAGTAAGAGGGCTGATTTAGTATGCATAGACTTCTAACACAAAACCAAATGTGGACAGGAATGCTGAATGAAGGAATGGACTGTGAAGAAAGAAACTTACACTCTGAAGTTAAACATTACTGGAACAGTCATTGTTTCATACCACATGCACAGGGTACATGTATTTGTTTGTATACTAAAGAAAATAAACATACAGCAGAAATTTGTCATTTAGATAGCTCTATTGGAACAGCTGTCTCCAACAATATAGATATTTTCAAAATGCAAATATGTATTTGAAACTGAATAATCTTACTGAAAAGTGCACTTGACAGTTTGTTCCATTTTTTGCTTTGTTTAAATGGTTGAAAAAACATGCCTCTGGGTTATAGAGAAACAGGACTATGATTCAATTTGTTTTTAAATCTTGTTTTTTCAGGTAATTAAATATTTGAGATCATTATGAATCAGAATCATCTGAGCTGGAAAACACCTTTAACACCAGCAAGTCCAGCTGTTAGCCCAGCACTGCCAGGTCCACCAGTAAACCATGTCCCTATAAGTTCTTTGCCTACATATCCTTTAAACTTTAAACATGAGATGATACTGATAATTTCTGACCGAATCTGAAAGGATAGATGTTTCAGTGGTAATCCCCAATAACTTTGAAGAAGGAAAACAAAAATCCAAACCCCAAGACTCAGACTATTAGGACCAACAATTCTAGACTAACTGATGAAGAACTTTAGAATCTTAGACTTGTTTAAAAAATCAAACCTGAATATATTTCTGTGAACTTTGTGCCTACCTTAGGATGACCTTCTCAGAGTGCAGGAAATATATTCCAGGCACATGAAAAATAGGAAGACATTATAACAAATCCATCTATGGGGTGTTCTTGCAATCATAAAAAAAAAAAATGCTGCAGATTTATATCTGAAGATTTGATTAATATAAGCTCAGTGGAGTTATACAGAATAAAGATGTGAAGTTGCAAGTAAAGAAAAAAATCAAACATGCAATGCAACCATAAGGAGTTGGGACTGCTTATCACTAGTGAAAACATGTTCTTTACCTCAAATGTCCACTCCTCTTCTTTTTCTCCATCCAGAAGCATTTTTGTCTCCTTATACACCTTCCCTATTTCCAGTTGCAGTGGAGACACATTAAATTCAATTCTTTGCAAGTTAAAGCCAATTCCAACTCCAATGGCCTTTAAGAAGCTTTCTTTTAAGGCCTAAAAGACACATAAAATGTATTTTATTTATACTGGCTGTAAAGTGTTTTTTAAACTATTTACTCTTCTATAAACATTACTTCCGAGCACACATTGCAGACAAAATAAATTTAAGACTTATACTACTCTAAATGTGAGGGTAGACTGATGAAATTATTGAGAGAAAAAGTTATCAGCATAGTTTATACCCAGCCTAACTTGCTGCATTAAAATAAACATGCAACTGAAATTACTCATTGGCACATACAGATATGAATGCTTCACCTTGTTTGTGGTGGGTTTGATGATCTTAGATGTCTTAACAGCCTAAACTGTTCTATGATTCTATGCAGCTACAAAATGATTAAATTTTTACTATAATGAAAATAATAAATTGTATAAGAATGTGAACATTTGCAGACTTTAAATAGGAAAAGGATTACCCAGTGCCGATAAAACATATCCAGCTGCATCCATTCATTACTCATTGACTTGATTACATCCCACTCTGTTTCAGTAAACTGTCGCTTCATTATGTGAAAGAAGTTTGGAATTGAGCTACTACCTATAAATCAGACAGATATTTACAGAAATTTTAATGGAATACTAATAATAAGCAAATGAATTACCTCACATTATTACTCTAGAAAAAACTCATAAAGAAAAAAAATAATTTATGAACCAACTCTGCTGCACAATTTGAATTTACACAGCCTCAAAGCAGCAAGCTAATGATTGTTCAGGACAGTATTTTCAGCATTCTCTAAAAGGCAAAGTATTTAACCAATGATGATTTTATATAAACATAAAAAAATTATATTCAGCTACAAAAGTAGCATATACAGTCTCTGGCATCTGACAGCTTCATCTAGTAACATTTTATAAAATAGCATGCTGTTTGTCAAAATTTATCAAGTTATTCTGCCTCCCACCCTTGGACGCTGGGATACAAAAGAAGTACTTTTTTAAGCACTTGTAGAAGCTATTAGAAACTTGCAGAATTTATTACACACACATTAAACTATTCGGATTGGATTTACACTGGAATAAAAATGGGGGTAGAGAGGTGCCCATAATAACTAAGAAATATACCAAGGGAAAAAAAGTCCTCCAAAAAAACCCAGCCTCAAACCACCAAACCTTCAAATCCTTAGATTAATTTTAAGCTTCTTCTAAAAATAATCACAGCTGTGTGGCATTGCAGCGGCTCTTTGGGGGCTACACCACTTTTTCCCACTAGCCTAAATTTACCTTGTAGAAGATACTGCAATGTGTGGTTATACTGATTAATGGCATTTCTATAGTACATTGAAATCTATGGACCTTGTCACATACCCACAGCCTATGTTAATCAGTATCCCTGCAAGCATCCAAGTCCAACTGGGTTTACAGGTTGCTAAAGAGACAATGGCAGAAAACCTATTTTCTTTAGTAGGGATAATAAAAATCTGAATAGAGACAATTCCACATATTGAGACAATTTCTCTGATAGGAAACTCAATGTTCTTACTAAAAATAAAACATTAATCATATTTAATCCAAAACATTTTCTCCCTCCCAATACCATGTTACTTCGAAGAACCCATTCACTAAATAATTGCTTAAGATGCAGATTCTAACTGTAGTTGTGCCAGTAATTCTTTGAGTTGACTGGGCAAGGAACTTTCCTTTTCTATACTCATATTCCCCATCCTAAACCAGGGATAAAGGCATTAAGCCTTCTCTATAAAGTGGTTGTCTTCTACAGGTATCTAGACAGCAAATAAAAACAGGTATTGGCAGCAGTAATAACTGATCTGAACAAATTAATATTACACTAAAGCACACATTCAGGCTTTCTCACAATTTCCAAACCATTCTGCAAAGTGTTATCTGACATGAACATCCCACAAGACAAGGCAGTGACATTTCAGAGACTCCCTGAATTGCATTTTAAAGTAAACATCTTAAGACAATTTTGTTGAAAGTTGCAGCACTAAGCTAATGGAACAATCCAGAACAATCTAAGGACAGGACTAACTTCCCTCTGGAGTAGAAGAAAAAAGCAACCACAATGTTAAGTATGCTTTGATGAATTACCAAGGCAAATTCCATATCCATCTACTTACACAATCCAACTTCCCTGAAACAATAAAAAATAAGAACAAAATCTGTTGAACTTGGAGAAAGGTATTTTCTTTCACCTCTGTGTTTGTATGACCCATTTTACAATACTACAATCAAATAACTACATTCATTAATACCTGCTCTAAAATATCCTTTTTTTTTTTCCTTTTCTCTCTTTTCTTAAGTATTTAAGACAATAGTGGTGACACTTCAGCCTGTTCTTGTGAGTAAAACTACAAAATATTCCAGAATGTCCTGGTGTACCCTTTGTCCTCTATTAGTTTCAGAGAGTTCTTCTCCTTTCTTCAATAACCCAGGACTAAAAGAGAAAACCACCCAAGACTATTCACACTACGCTACCTTCAGCATGTAGAGGCATATAAAGGCTCCTGCACTGTCGGTCCTGCCATCCCAACTTTATCACATGTGGTGAACATACTTGATGCTTAAGCCATTTAGTACAGCAAGTACATATCAAACTCATGTGCTCCTACAATTTCTTCCTCATTGTTCACCCCTTTTCTTGTCCTAGGCTTCTTCAACTGGTCAGCTACCCTTCTCAACACTCATGTTCAAATTCACACAGTACTTTCCCCTCCACTCCCACTGTCTGTCACACTCCTTCTCTGAAAAGCTCAGGCACTCTGTCCTTAAGTGCATTCCCTCCCTGTTTCCTTAAGGCAGTATGTTTGCTTTTCTCTGAAGAATGGATCAGAGGACTTAGGACTACTATTCTCCACAGTTACTTGCAGTACCACAGCCTGCCTAGTCCGTTACCCCATATTTGCTTCAGTATCAGAGACAGACAGATTCACAGAACCATGGAGAAAATGTAGGTTGAAAAGAACCTTTGGAGACCACCTGGTGAAACCTTCTGTTGAAAAACAGAGCCTTATGTTGGGTTACCCAGGGCCCTGTCAAGCAGAGTATTTCACCCTTTCTCTGGGGAACCTAGTCCAGTATCCTGCTGCTCTCATGGTAAAGACTTGTTCTATAGAGACAGAACTTCCCCTGAAGCAACCTGAGCCTGCTGCCCTTTGCCCTGTTCCTGTGCACACTCTTGAAGACAGCTATGTACATCTGCTCTGCAGCTACATTTCAGGGAGGCTGTGATTAGATTCTCCTCTTCAGAACTTTTAACTCTTCATGTTCAACAAGCCCAGCTCCATCAGCATTTCTATGTAAGTCGAGTTCCCCGACCCTCTAATCATCTTGGTGGCCCTTTGCTAAACCCCCTCCAATTTTCCCATGTCACTCATGACACAGGAGTTATGAAGGAGACAAAACTAGAAGCAGCAGAAAGTTTCTGTTTAAATGCTATGTTTTTTGCTTTTAGTTCGATTAAAAAAAAATAAATAAAAAAAGCCTCAAGTGTACTTGCCACAATTTATAAAAAACTTCCTTTGAAAGAACGGGAACAAGTCCATATAGCAATTAATTATTTGGTTTTAAATTTGCATTTCTAAGGTAGCTCCCCCTTGTCAACTTGTTTCAGAAATAAATTTACAAGTATTTCTTACTTGCCTATGTCAGGAGACAGATCTTCAAAATAACAAACTAACTCCTTTTAATGTTGACAATTAATTATAGTGCCCTCTCTGATTTTAAAATACATTCCTTGTTAATCAACTTTTAAGTACCTTAGCTCCTTAAGAATATGAACTGAGTAATATTTCAAAAATTGCATTCTAGTAATCAAAAATAAAATCTAAACCTGAAGTTAAGTATCTTCATTAAATTAAAAGCACACAACACCCTGGAAATTTCAGGAAGAGTTAGGAGAGGAAACAGCAAGTGATACTAGAAAAAAGACACCAATATTAAGCCTGGAAAGTAAACATGCCATATGCAGGTGTGTGTGTTCACATGTGTGCATATGTGTCTGCATTTTGGATTTTTTGCATGAGCTATTTATGTTAATACATAATGCCATGTTTTCCACTGCAATGACAACTGGGTTTTTGTTAAATTTTTTTAAAGACTAGGCAAAAAATTTGCTTTGCATTTTCGCTGTAGAACAGTAATGCCACAGACAAGATATAAAAGAGTGGTTTTAAGAAGAGGCAGGAATGAAGAATAAGAAAACAGACTATATATTCTCTAGTCCTTTTTGCAAATGCTCTATAGAAATAGTACAGAAATACAGCATAATTTCTCCCCATTTTTCTACCTGCTAAAGAATTCCAACAAGATGCATCTGTAGGAAGACAAAAGCAATCAGAATTAAGATCCATGTAAATTATGATGCTATTAATAGTGAAAATTACTACCTATAAGGCTAATACAGAAATCTTCATACAATTTTTTGCATTTTTACAAACACCAGGTTAATTGTAAGTCAGCTTTGGAAATACAGTGTACACTTCACAAAGGCAGGGTACAAACTTGTACCAAAAATTATTAAAACCATGGAATGCATTCTCAAAACAGTGAGAAGAGTAGATGAATGACCATCTTCACTTCAGGTTTTATGAATTTACAATCTTCAACTTGGTTTGGTCAGATACAGTATATCTGTAGTATAGTAGTAGTATATATAGTAGTAGCTTATAAAGCTACTACTGCCAGCTCATCGATCAACTAATCTCCTGAAAAAACAAAATAAACAAACAAAACTAAACCCCAGAATGCAAAGAGCCTCTTCACCAACTTCAACTGCATAAAAGATACAGATCAGTGATTGAGAACTAATACTTAATCAATACAACCAGTTTACTTTCAGATGGAAAATGGGTAAAGTGGCACTGTGACATGTCATACATAGCAAAATGAACAACTGAAGCATGAACAGGTCAATCTACCTAATAATGTGAAACACAAGACAGCTATGAAGCTTACAAACTAACCAACTGTATTGGATGTATGTTTCAAGTCTTGGGCCGACAATCCTTTTGGTGTATTTGATCACACTTTACTGTCTCTAAAGGAAACCAAAGTAACCTGGTAACAGAGAAAACATTTCTCTGCAACAGATGCCCAAGCCCTAACTGTTTATTAATACCAACTAACCCTTGAACAGATGTTTAGAAACAACACAAGACAAATAATTACAGAGATAAATGACTAACTTACAAGAGCCAGACAGAACATTAATAATGCATGTTTTTTTCAGTCTACTACTTCACACAGCTTTATTGTGAATTGGAAATTGGATTTAGATTCTTTGACCTCCACACTTCCTGTCAGTATCCTGCAATTCTGCCAATTATATGTATGTTAAACATCCATTCTCATCATGTTAACATTGATGTCTTTTATCTTGGCACACTCCAGAGAAGCACCAACTCTAAAATTCCTGAAAATCTGATATTGCCTCCTGTGAATTACTCAGCATTTTCCAGATTTTAAAAATGGAAAAGTCATAAAGAGACTGAAATAATTTGATTATGTTTGATATTTTTTCTGTAGATGGCATCATTAAGACTGCAATATTAGAGAAACTGCTAAGGTTTCAATTGC